GAACCGCGGTCCCTGATGCTTTGCTAAGCTTGTTCTAAGTAGGTGCTTTAGACCACTGAGCCATCTCTCCAGCCCCTAAAATTTGCATTTTAAAAGTGTAATATTGTATCAGTTCAGAACAGTCTCTGAAGACCCACTTAACTACTGCCTACTACCTTTAAAATACATTTATGACCAAAGAGTACATGAGAGTTTATGTCTGCTGTGCAGCTAGTCTTAAGTAGGTTTAGTTGGAGAACAAAAATATATATCCCTGAATAAATGAACATTAAATTGTCAATACCAACAGTAATGACTTTAAAAGTTAAAATTCTGGAATATTTTCATTATACTCTTTCATAACTGTCTTTCTTGTAATTTAAATATTTGGTGATTGTGAGAATTGAATTTTGTAATGGCTGAGAAAACTAACTTATAAAGCAATATGTTGATATGAATCTTTTATTTGGTTAAGTATATGATTACTTATATCCTTTTATGGACCAGCTATAAATTTTTCTAAGTGTATTTTAGCACCTTTCTTGGAACCACAGTATAGTTATATTTTTGCAGTATTGAATTATGTTCAATTAGGTTATTATAATGTTTATATTATACTCAATTAGATTTCAGTGTCTGCAAAAAGTTCCCCCTCTGCTTGCCTTGTAGTTTCAGTTAAAAGTGTAATAGAATTCAGTAGGTACTGTTTAGGAACTTGAAAAGAGAAATGGTTTTGTTTTCTCAAAATTAGACAGGACCCAGTGGGCGGACACTTAGTGTTGCAGGCCCATGTGAGCAGCAGCTTGGTGGATAGCTCCGTCAGCGGTAGGTAAAACATCAAAAGAGTGGTCGGCCATAGAAATCAAGAATGAGGAAATACATTTTTACGAGAGTTTTGTTTTGTTTTGTTTTTGGTGCCGAGGACCAAACCCAGGGCTTCCAGCTTGCCAGGCAAGCGTTCTACCACTGAGCCAAATCCCCAGCCCTGAGGAAGAAAATTTTGAATTAAGAGAGATGGTGAATCTGGAAGATGAGCAGTACTGTTGAGTCATCACACATATATCCTCTTCTGTGGTGCCAAAAGTCTCTCTATGGCTTGTATGAAATATCTTAGGAGATGTTCTACTTACTATTACTGTAATTGTATATTTAAGCAAGCCAGATTGCTGATGTTGTTAATGCTGAAAAAGAGTATGATACACTGGATGTGATAGTGCATGTCTGTAATCTCAGCACTTGTGGGGCTGATGCGGAAGGATTGCAAGTTCCAACCCAGACTGGACAATTTAGCAATATAGCCAGACCCTATCTCAAAACAAAAACCAAAAGTAAGCTGGGGGTGTTGCTCAGTGCAACAGGCCTTTGGTTTTGTCCTCAGTACTATTTCCCTACTCCCCACCAAAAAAAAAAAAAAAAAAGAAAGAAAGAAAAAAAAAACCATGCATATAAAATATCTTTTTTTTTAGAATTCGTAAGATTATTTGCTTCCTCTTTCACTGGGCAGTTTTTGGTGGGAATATTCTCATAGTTCTAAGGATATGGTCAGATCTTGGTCTAAACAAAATGATTTTTTAAAAACATCTGTTGCCCCATCAATGCATGATTCTTTACTCATGCACAAGCACCTATCTGAGCTTATGTTTCAAGCTATTACATGAATTTTGTTCCTGAAGAAATGCCAAGTAGTCTTACGTATTATAATCTCTCAATCATCTTTTTTTATTTTAATTTTTTTTTTTTTTTTTTTTTAGGGAAAGGTCTACAGGGCCTCACTACTAGATTGGACTTGTAATGATGCTCATGTTTATAGCCTCCCAACTGAGATGCCCAGTCTCAGTTGCCATCTCAGTGTGCCCTTGGGGTGGAGCTGCCACTGGCATGGCAGGCCTGGGGATTTAACCCTTGGCCCCTACACCTGCTTGCAGGCACTTTAATTTACTGAGCTATTTGGCTGGCCCTTCAATTATCTTAATTGTATATTATTGTTCAGTAAGAATAAAATGCTTGTTGCTTTAACATCAGTATTGTGTTATTATTCAGTTTTATAAAAGGAATTTTAAAAAGTTCAGAAGCAAACTTCAGCCTTATTATTTATCATCTGTCATACTAGATGATGTTAACTTCTTTCAAAAACCATTCGAAAATAGAGCTAGATTTACTGTGAAGATTTAAGATGCTACATATAAACTGCTTATTTTCATGTAAGCAATATGGAAATAAATGCCCAAAATGTTACCGATTGTTAAAGTGCCAAAAGTGGGTTGGTGCTTATAATATAAATTTTCTTTCATGTAAATGTGGTCTAGTACCTCAGCTGTTCATATAGTGAACCTGAAAGTTGGGTACAGGTCATTTAGATTTCAAAGTTCACTTATTACTGTTTATTATCTTGTCTTAGCTACTTTTCTCATTGGTAAGATCAAATTAACACTCACAATTAAAAGGGGAAAAAGTTTATTTAGCTCATGGTTTGTTGAGGTTTCAGTCCATAATTGACTGGCTCTAAGGCCAGTGGCTTGGTAGAGGAGTATCATAAAAGACAATGGTTTATGGCAGGCAGGAGACAGCAAAAACAAACAAGGAAGAGACAAGACTAGCCTCTTGCTGTCTCTTATATTGTTTCCAGACTGAGTTGAGGGCGGTGCCAAACCAGTGGGTGATTGATTTATTAATAAATTCCACACCCTCATGCACTATAGATTCAGCTACTACTGAAAAAGCCCCACCTGTGACCAATTGAGGATTTGGAGGAAGAAGAATGATACCCGAAGTATGACACTTCTGTATCAGAGGACAAAACCTAGAACACTCTAGGGCCAGTCTAGCCTATCGATCTCCTTTGTTTCATGCAGTGTTTAGTCTACATGCTGTTTAAAATTGAAAGTTGTTGCATTTATGTATTTATTCATCTATGTATCTCCCTATCTATCTACCTACCTGTTTTTTTTTGAGATAGGGTCTTGTCACGTAACTCAGGCTGTCCTTGAACTCAGTGTATTTGCTGAGACCAAATCAATACCCACAAGCTAAAGGGGAAAAGGATTATCTAGCTCCCAGTTTGTAGAGGCTTCAGTCTCTAGTTGGCTGGCTCAGTTATTTATTTATTTATTTATTTTTTTGCGGAACCAGGGATTGAACTCAGGCCCTTGGGCTTGCCAGGGAAGCGCTTATACCCCTGAGCCATCTCCCCTGCCCCTGGCTCACAGTTTATAGAGATTTTCCAGTCCACAGTTGGCTGGCTTAGGCTGGCCTTACTTGAACTTGAAGGTGAGACTGCTGCTTTAGGCTCCCAGGTGCTGAGATTATTGGCATGAGTCACAACACCCAGGCATTGCTTATTTTTAAAAATCAGGAAATCTCATGTTAAAAGTCGTATTTCTGCCTCCTTTTAAGAAGTTGAAGCTGGGCATGGTGGTACATGCCTATAATCCCACCACTGGGGAGGCAGAGGCAGGAGGATTGCCATGAGTTAGAGGCCATCCTGGGCTACAAAGTGAGCTGAAGGCCTGCCTGAATTACATAGTGACACCTTGTCTCAAAAAGACCCCCCCCAAAAAAAAAAAAAACCAAAACAAAAGAAAGTTGAAGAGTTTGGGGGTTTTTTTTGGCAGAACCAGGAATTGAACTCAGGCCCTTGCGCTTGCCAGGGAAATGCTTATTCCACTGAGCCTTCTCCCCGGCCCAAGTTGAAGAGTTTGGATTCACATCCCAATGTAACAGAAATCAAATGGGAGTTGTGTAATTCCTTATCTGTCATTCAACAGATTACTGTATTAGGTGCTATTTCTTGTCTTCTTTTTTTTTTTGCAGAACCAGGGATTTGAACTCAGACCCTTGGAGCTTGTGAGGCAGGCGCTTATTCTGAGCCATTTCCCCAGCCCCTTGTCTTCTGTTCTGCTAGCTTTGATTCTATGTAAACTTGTAGATTAAGTTTTATTAGTGCATGTATGGCTTGCTTTAGATACTTCGTATTATAGAATATATCAGTTGTGTCATTTAAAATTTACCCTCCCATTAATCTTTTCATAAAGAGGGAGCAAAGGGGAGGAGGTTATTAAATAATACTAGAACATTTTTCTTCTTTCTTTTTTTTTAGGTTTCTTTTCTCTTTTTTTTGTCCAGGGTTTCACTGCACAGCTTAGATTTGTAGTGATCCTCCTGATTTCTTCTTCACTAGTGCTGGTATTACAGGCA